ATTTGCATAATGACACTTATAACCTCTGAGAACCGCCCATACATGATGTTGCGAGCCAGTGGATATGGCTCCGCCATCGTGGAGGAATCGATGAAGAAGTACCGGATTTGGGGCGTGAGATGCTGGCAGCACTGGGGTGTCACACCTACCTGTAAATATTGGAAATACACTCGTTTCTCTCTTCCGTATGTTTGTAAATCCCGTAACAAATTGGTGGAGGTGCGGGGTAGGGCCAGTGGGGTGCATCGCCGTGAATGGTGCAGGCGTCGGCGAGGCTAATGGAGAGGTGGCCGTGGCATCAGTCCCGTGTTTCATCACGGAAACTCCAATTTGACGACCACTGCGCAACTCCGTTGTATGGCGCTTCGTATGACGTTACGTAAATAATGGATATACACTCGTTTCTCTCGTCCGCGTGTTTCCAAATCCCGTAACTATATCATGGTCTCACCTATTGTGGCAGTGTGCCAGTTAATTAGAGTGTATAATGTTTCGCACACTCACCACAACTTTCGGATAATGAGCGCGCATATCATCTTCGAAAGTTTAGATGCACATATTTCGGTGCATCCTACTTGAACAGGAAATGGTGCACGGTACACAGCAAGTGATGAAAAGTGCAATCGTTCTTGTTTTCATCGTAAGCAGCGTCTGATATCGTGACGAAATACTTAAATGTTTCTTCACGATGAATATCACAGCTCCAATATTGCGCAGTGTTACTATGCCGAATCTAGGCAAGCCTCGACGCTTAAGCCCCAACTCCACGCATGCGTTCGCGCGCGAGATTCCACGCGCTCGCGCGCCTATGCGCTACCACGTGACGGCCGGAGACGGCGCGCCAGGCGAAGCGCGCGCGTTCGGAAAGATCTGGCTATGCCACATATTTTTACACGCGCCGGAAGTTGCTCCCTCGGCAGCAGCCAATCAAACGCCGCTGCCGCGGGCTTCCGCTCCTCCTGTCTCTAAGCCGCCATGGCCGCCCTCTGCAAGTTGTCGGCGATGGCGGTCGATAACGAAAAACTAATCTCTTGTGTGGCCAGCCGGACGTCCTTGTGGCTGGCCACGCACAAGGACCACAAGAATCGGCAAGTCAAAGATGCCCTGTGGAAAGAAGTGGGTCAAATAATGTATCCGGGGAAGGCCAGCAAAGGTACGTACGGCGCGTTTCCGCCGGCTTGACAGGTTGTGTTGAAAGCAGTGGCTGATATTTAATTTCGTCTACGCAGAGTGCATCACTACGCTGCAAAAGCGCTGGAAGTTTTTGCGGGACAAGTTCCGAAGGCTGTTCGTGCTAGCCCAGAAAAAAAGAAAAGCGGCATGGGCACGGAAGACGCCGACTCCGACACCGAAGATGAGGGCGATGAAGGGAACCCGCCTGCCGACAGTCCAGTGCAGCCGGCTTCGTGGCCCCTTTACGAGCAGCTGGTGTTCCTGCAAGACACCATGACCTTCCGAGAGTAAGTTTATTGACGCTTTTATTGGCATTACGAACTAGCGAAACAGAAAAGCTCGCGTATTTTTCGCGTTGAATAAAGTAGCTTGTGATTGTGAGCCTTGCCGCTTTCGGGAATGCTGGCGAAAGTTGCTAATACGCCACAAAATTTTACACGAAACGCGACGAGTAAAGGTAAGAACGCACAAAGAGTGCTTCTTGCGTATGTGTATTTCTGTCCTGTACACACCCAATGTGCATACTTTTGCGCCGTGCCCCGCGTTCCCGCACCAGAATAGTCTTGATTATTGAAAGCTAAAAATTGCTTGCAACAGTACCAAAACCGCATCTGTAACGTGCGGTGTAATGCGAGGTTTAAACTAGGGATGCTCTAAAAGTGGAAACCTACAGTAATTAAAACTTGCTTGATTATGTCACGCTGAAGCCAACAAAAGTGAGCATTTTATTGCTCACAGTGATTGGTGGGGCCGCTCATTAGAGAAGCAGTTTTGTCCAGATGCAGAAGTGATTCCCTTGCAGTTCTTGGAAGCATATAGAAATTCTACACTACTCAGATGTACAAGTGGTGCCAAAGGTGCCCAAACCCTGTTGCATACAGTCATTATGCTGGACATCTTTCAGACAGCTGTAGAGGATGCAAACAAGGGGCAGATCTTGCACATACATTATGGGAATTGCTTCGAGCTATCTCTTAGAACCACATCATTGTTAGTGATGAGCAGTGGGAGACTGCTCCTCAGCTCAGATCCGGCAGATCAGCTCTGGGACATTCAGTTAGCCGAAGACTCTGCTAGGACCCAAAGGCACCTGGCTGATGCCTAGGATGGAAGGCCAGCCCTACTAAACTGGACAAAGAAATCTACTTTCCCTCTCCCCCCTTATAATGAAAAACAAAACAATTATAGTGTTCGCACACACTATGCTGTAGTGTAACAAGCACGCATTTATTAACAATGAGAATGTTGGCATGTTTGACCTTGCATTAACGATCGCCTGTGTAAACACACTAACTTGCTAAACGGGTCTGCCGGCAGCCGCAAGTTAAAAAAGGAACTCAGAATGGCATGCGAGATCAATGAGGCGTTCTGTATAACACAATGCAGCAATGAGTGTGCTAGTACACAAACTATGGTTGTAAGAAGCATACATTTATTAACAGTGGGAATATTTTGCCATCTTTCAGGGCAAACATTGACACTTTTTTACACACCTATACCCTAATACATACACCTTCATTTTTGCTGTGCAGGACTTCTGGAAATTTCGAATCCCAGAGGAGGCAAAGGAAGGAGGATGTTCGACAGGTGGCACGGCAGGTGACCCCGGAAACCCTTTTTAGAGACATGTGTCCGAGCCAGTTTGACACCATCGAGTTAGATCAGACTGATGACCCCGCCGATCTCTATCCAGCGCCGGCGGTGTCAGTTGAGTGTAGTCCGTCGCTACTGGAACCAGGAATGTCATCCCTTGAAGCGACGCAGTCAAGTGAGTCGGCACCATCACCGCTGACAACTGCGTCACCGCTTGGGTTGGCGGCAACGTCACTGGAAAGCCAGGGGTCCAGCCTTGCCAGCATGTCTGTCATGCAGCCACCCAAAAAAAGACAAAAGAAAGACGACAATGACAGTTTACCTGTAGAGCACCTTGGAAAACTTACAAACAGTCTAGAGGACCAGGACGACCATCATTATTTTGCATTGTCGCTCGTGAAATCAATGAGAAAAGTAAAAGAGGAAGACCACTTGCGCATGCGCATGAAGATTCTGGAAGTGATCCAGCAATTTTATTTTATTTATTTATTTCGACATGCTGCCAATCCCATCAGGGATTTTAGCAGGAAGGGCGTGAACGTAAAAATTCGAATAAGTACACAATAAAGACATACATCGCGATAAAGTACAGAATGAAACTAACAGAATCGGATCATTTAACAATTTCAGATCAAAGAAGGCATAAAACATTAGTGTAAAGAAAAGTTGTCAGAAGAAAATAAATGCAGCGACTTGGTTGACACATTGGTTGACATATTGGCATATGCATCAAGAAACACAACAAGAAATTACAGCAATAAGAAACTACCCTACAATATGGCAAAGTATTTCAAGGAAGGGCAAATTTATACACACTGAAAAACAGAAATATGTTCAAGAATCAACAGAGCGATTTCTCTTCACCTGGATTCAGTAATAAAAATTGCTTAAAGAAAAAATATGATGACATGATACTTCGCTCGTACAATGTTCCCACGAACACTCATATTAAAATCAACCAGGTGATTCCGTTTGCATAATACAAAGTTCATTTTCGACAAGGGTTACAAATTTTGCTAATTCGGTAGTGCTGGAGGTACTCGGATCCAGTTTATTCCATTCATTAGTGGCTATCGGAAAGAATGAGTACTTAAAGCAGTTTGTGTTGAAGGAGTATTCGTTAAGTCTCATTGGGTGTTTTTGGCGTGTTGTTCTAGTTTGATCAAACGTAAGATAGGCGGATACATCAATGTTTAAATGACCATGGATTAATTCATGTATGAATTTTGCACGCGCTAACCTTGTTCTATTCATTAGAGTAAGTAATCCAGCTTTTTTAATTAGTTTAGTCGGAGAATCTGTATGTCTGTACTTGTTGTAAATGAACCTCATAGCTTTCCTTTGTATTCCTTCCAGTTTCGTGATTTGCTGTTTTGTGAATGGTGACCAAATAATCTTACCGTATTCAAGTAATGATCGCACAAGGGAAGTGTATGCAAGCAGTTTTAGAGAAGGCGGGGCCTGACGAAGCCGGTATCTGAGTGCAAACAAGCGGCGTAGTGCAGCTGAAGTAACGTAACTTATGTGTGCGTCCCATCTTAGATCTTCAGTTATAATAATTCCAAGATATTTATGCTGATTTACTCTAGTTATGGGAATGTCATTGATAGTGTAAAGAAAACTTGACCTAGTTTTTTTTCGACTTACTGATAAAATTGTACACTTGTTTGCATTAAGTGACATCTGCCAACTTAACAGTAGCTGAAGTGTGGTGCTTCTTGTCCTTAGAGCTGACAAAGCGTGGGCATAGAGAATGAGGCATGTTGCAATATGAGGCATGGTGCAATATGAGTGGGCCAACATTACATGGCTAAACATGATTCAGGGTGTCCTTGCTATTAAAGGAGAAGTTTACCTTCAGCAAAATGGGTGCAGCCCCTGCTCTTCCAAGCGCTTCAGGGCCCCTTGTTTGGAGACTCCGGGCTGGTGCCACTGCCACGGTACCTCTCCAGCGCTGCTGCAAAAGTAGGCCGAGAAAAGCGTCTTGGCATCCGCAGCATCTGCACTGAAGTTCCGTGACTGGGATCCCTCAAGCGGGAAATAGCAGGGGTCCACATGCCCCTGCCCCGACGTCTGCTGGATGCCCTGCCTCCACCGTCCTGGAACCACATTTCCGAACCTGTCCTCTTGGTCGAGGATCTGGTCCGATTCCTCATTTAGGACCGCTAAGAAATTATGCAGTACACATGCTGCCTTCACTACATAATCCACATTCTTGGGGGGAAGCTGAATGTTGCGGAGCAGTATGCGCCACCTGGCCGCTGTGATGCCGAAGGCGTTTTCAGCACACCTCCTGGTAAAATGAAAAAATAGTACAAAACAGGTTTTAGAAGCAGCCACCTTTCAAAGCCGATTCATTAGACTATTCTTTAAAACTGCAGCTACAAGAATGGCAACGTAAAATGGGCACAGTGCTCATAAGCTCGCGTTTTTTTAGAATAAAAGCCCTATGCTCATTAATTATACATAAAGAAATCTTTTGCGCTTATTTCTGTACGGCATTCTAGAGAAGCAACGTGAACAGATAATTCAAATCAGCATTTATGTTTGTAATGTAAGGTTAATCACAAGTCGCACAAGCTGCTACGCATGCCCTATTTTTCTGAGCTGGGTAAAGGACACTTGTTATTGAGATGGGGTCACAAACATTGTGCACGGTGCACACCTTAATTTGACTTGTGCTTGCGAGATCGTTTTGTCATAATGATGGTTTGTACTAAGTGTGGTGAGCTTTTTATGTGCCCCTTCTGTTTTTGGATGTTTTTCCTCTGAACTGTTTTCGTTCAGCTGCTTTGTCGGCAAGTTAGAACCACTGTTCTTGAGCTACGGGGTTGACTATATGCACTATATTGTGAAATTAGAGCCACTGTTTTTAAGCTATGTATTTTGTGTTCATTGTTTTTATTTTTCTTCATCGCTGACTTGCTGCGAAGTGTGCATTAAACGTTATTTCAAGTGCTTTCTGTGTTTGTATAAAATTGAGTATGGCAGGCTCAGCATACCCAAAGAAAGTGCCTGATATCATACCGTGCTCGGCTTAGTCTGTAATTGAACACTCTTCGTTCATCTTCAAGGAGTCTAGCAGGGAAAGGGCGCATAAAGTCGCGCCGCAGCTGGAACGCTTCATCCCCGACGAAAGCGTACGGCGCCACCTTTGTGGTGCCTGGGAGTTGCCCCAGTGAGGGGATGTCAAGCTGCCCTTTGGTTAGGGCCTTCCCAAACTTCGTGTTTTTGAACACTCCGCCGTCACTCTGGCGGCCCTCTGCCCCATTATCGACCAGCACGAACTTCGAAGAGCTGTCGAAGGGTACTTTCTCCATCAGCACAATGGAGAAAGTACCCTGCAGCAGTAGGCGTCAGACCAAACATTAACACATGTAAAGTTGTATGTGTAGGTGGGACCTACAATAATAAGCGATTACAAAGAAAAAGTATGACAAAATTTACAAAATCACCTATGCTGGCCACACATTTATTTGTACCAGCTCATTGTGAAAGATTTCTGGCATGCACAGTGATAATTTAATTTAGCCGTAAGGGCTCTGAAAAACACCTCTGTTGAAATTAAATTTCAAAGTAAACATCAAATCAAGCTGTCATAAGTACCTGCCGCAGCACTGGAAGAATACTGCATACATGAAGTATTCTGGCAAAACGACTTAGACCACGGGGCTGTATTCCTTCGTTTTGGCAGACTGCGAGCTCAGTCCCCTTCTCTGTCTCCCTCTCTCCCCTGCTTTCTGGAGCCCATGTGCACCATTCAAAAGTGGTACATAAGAAAAAAAAGTATAGCATTGCAGGGCAAGGCTCTGGACGTTGTCCAAGCATTTTAAATTAGAAGGTAATTTAAGAAAGGGGTGAAGAATTTTAGGCAACTTCCTGCATTACAGAGTTTGGAAGCTTACTGAAATGAAAATAACTAAGACAACTTTTTATACCACTGCACTTAGCGACATTTCTTTTTTAATTGTCACAGTTACACTACTGGCACCGCACCCCTACAAATGGGTGGTGCACATTGGCTGTCTATGTTGCCACCACACATTCTCCAGCAGACAAGGGCACACTACCCCTCCCGCATTAATGCTGTTCGTTTCAGTATACGTGCATAAATGGCCAGAGTGACTTACCTTGTAATTGAAGAAGGCACTTCCAGATTTCGGCGGGCAGGTGATGGCGACGTGCTTCCCGTCAACAGCCCCCAAACAGTTTGGGAACTGCCAACGCCGGGTGAAGTCACCAGCAATCTTGGCCCAGTCAGCCTTGGTTGGTACCTGGAATAAATTGGAAACCAGGAACAAATTTGTAGGCCGAACAGACCTATTTTTAGCTAAATATCTTTGTGAGGTGGAATGTGAAAAAAATGACATTCACTTTTCTCTTGTGCATGCTCTTTGGGCATGGATCCACGGCGTGGTGAACCAAATTTTGTACAAGGTGTAAGCTTCCAATCATGCTGAAGGCATGGTGTCACTTTTGTTGCCCAGTCGTACACGGTCAACGCAGTGCATTTTACCACCCCATTTTTTATTTCGACAACACAAAGGTGGGATTACTGCATTTTGAAAACCAGAGTAATCAAATAGACATAGTTCACCAGGCTTTCAAAGCCCATGGGGATATATTGTATTTGCTAATCACAATTGCCTTAGGCACTGTTAATAATAAAATTTTTTTTCATTTAAACAGAGTCTTCGAAGGAATTGTTTGTACTGCAGATATGAAGTGTACCATTTACTGAAAGAAAATTTTATACAGGCTCTGACGTTACCCACCTTCATAAAGTGGTCCTTCAGACGAGCCCAAATGGCTCTACAGATCAAGTGAATGCTTCTCCGGGCAGTTTCAATGCCGACAGGGTAGGCGAGGGCCACGTTGCAGATGTCCAGCCCTGAAGCCAGGTAGCTGCAACACAGAAAAAGTAATTTCTCCTCCGATTCACAATACATGGCCAGCACAACTGCAACAAAAGTGTTTGATAACGTGCAAACTCTGAACAGGATTGCCTCTTTAGGTAACAAGCAAATGGCAATATTGCTTTCTGACACGAAAGGGCATCTATACTAAAAAAAGTTTGAAGACTTGGCCAATGTGAGAAAGCATGAATGATTGCAACGCCCATTTTGCCATTTCACAATGCAAAAGCCATTTGTATAAGCTGACGTATGCATCTATGATCTGTTCACTGACATGTTTATGTTCTTGCATCAGGATCAGAAGGCAACCTGTACCAACCTCAAGGTTATTGCAAGCCTTTCGCCTGGCTCCAGGGGCTCTCGTATGAAGTGCTGCCGTGTCAAGTGCGCAGCAACAAAGCCCAGCAACTTGTCGAACAGCGCGGGTGACATGCGGTAAAACTTAAAAAAAAACTGCTGGTCGCCTTCCCGCATTCGACGCATCTGTAGGGAGAAAGAAAGTGTACTGTTGAAGATGGACACAACCATTTTAGTTACTTGTACACCGGGTAAGCTAGCTCCAACGGGCTATGAAAAGGGTAGATAATTCATCATGCATTTACAAGATGCACAGGTACTATCTTTAAGGGAGCTAGCTCATGTCGCAGCTACAAAATCTGGTGAATAAAATGGCACATCTAGAGCACTCTAGAATTTTATTTTAATTTATACCAAGCGCATTAAACGTTTTCTTAGCGCGGCACACATTGTTTAACCTCTTTTGCGCAAAAAGGAACACGCTAGCTGCGGGTTACAAGGCGGCGGAATGCTTCGCTCGCGCAAACAAAGCGCCGACAACAGACGAGAAGCGAGCGCTTACAACGTGTGCACCCCACTGTTGGTCATGACGCTATACAGCTTTCAGAAAACACAAACAAAAATTCCCGTTGTGACTAACCAACTCAGCTAACCATGCCTACAATAATAGGGCTAAGCATTAATGCAGTGCGAAATAGCAACACGATACTCACGGCTGTGTGGTACAGGCCTTCCTGTTTTCGCGCCAAAAAGACAGGCCGCACCCAGCAACGGTGCTCTCGTTGCCTTCGCTGCCGCCTTCTGACGATTGCCTTCGCTACTCGCGTAGCTAGCAGGAACAGATGGCTGCGAGTCAGCGTTGAGACCATTTTCCCTCGATGAAGCAGGATAAACGGAAGCGGGCTTGAAAAGAGCGGTAAGCAAAACCAGAGGAGGCGATATCGAAACACTGCGCTACCGAGTAAACAAAACCGCCGACTTGGCTCGGATGCTCGGCTCGTGGCTAGGCTCGGCTGCTGTGTGTGTGTGTCAAGTCGTGTCGATAGTTCGCGTCGACAAGAAACAGTTTTTTCGGCGTCTCAAAATGAAAAAGAAATGCTTTTATGCGTTTTAGTAACTATTTTGCGGCCTGTTAGTAGTGCGCATGTGTGTCTGTAGTCAGGCAGTTCTGGCCAGTGTGGTCTAGCGACATTGGGCTGCGCAAATCGAGCGCGGGGCAGTGAGCGTTCGCGCGCCTCTCATGTGGTTGCTCGCCCTCCCCCTTCACAGGCGCCCCAAACGCATGAGCACGCCAGCGCGTAGAATCTCGCGCGCGAACGCGTGCGTGGAGTTGGGGCCTAAAGCGCGTATGCGCGCTTGACATCTGCTAACGTACCGAAGCCCGATGCTCTTTGCAACACAACCACGCTATCACGTGCCAGTTCGTCAGCGCCACTTTGTTCTGATGCTATTCCGTGACGGATACACTGGCGCTCGCTCCGACAGGCTCGGCCACACTGAGCGCTGTCCACCTTATGTAAAAGTGGACAAGTCTGTGCTGGAAGAATTTTTCTGCGTACTCTTAGAAGTGGATTAGCACCTCAGCGCAACGACGACGGTGGTACAATAACAAGATAGATGCAAGAAAATGACGGTGAACGTGATGCCAGCGCCGGGCGCCGAGCTGGCGAGGTGGCAGAAAGGGGGGGGGGGGAGGTCGTTGCTTTTTTTCTTTTTTTATTCCGCGCTCGCGCTTGTCCCTGAATGGTTCTGCAAAAGTTGATGCCGGCTCCTGGTGCCAGGCTGGCGCGACAGAGATGGCGGCTCTCCCCATTTTTTCCTTTTTTTTTCTTCTTGCACCTGCTCTTACCAGCTATTGGCGTTACTTCCGCGCCGCACGACTGTCACGGGTATTTTTTATTGCTGGGCTCTCTATTGGCAGGATTTTAGTACGCAGGAGCACGCCGCCTATACGCCGTTCATTATCCGGCACCTGACTGAGAGTGTGCTTGCGATCATTGCGGCCGAGATGAAACGACAGATCTAGTTCTCTGTCACTGCCTCCACTACAGCGTGCAAAGACAGCTGCTAGCTGCTGCGTTAGCTCACCTTGATGAAATACCTTTGTAAGAACAGCCAGTGCTTGAAAGCCTACATGATCTGTCATCGCACATAAAATCAGTGAAGGCCTTATTGAGTTTTTTGCGAGGCAGTGGCCTATTGGATAGGCTACAGCACGCCCGCTCTCTTTTTACCTTCTCGCACGTCTAATTTGCTCCTCGTTTTCTCTCTCACCTTTCTTCCCCATTCCTTTTTTTTTCCTTTGTGCAGGATAGCAAACCAGATGCTCCAATATCCGGTTAACCTCCCTGCCTTTCCCTCATTTTATTCTCTCTCTCTCTCTCTCTCGCTTGAGCCCCTGTGGTTTTTTAGCGTGCACCTAAATCTATGTACACTAACGCCCACTGTTGAAGGGAACCCCGCAAGGAAGATCGTTTATAATACCGGCCCTCTATCGACAAGTGCATATAGGTAAACAATGTTCGTGCACGACCCTAGTCTTTACAACGAAGTCAAAACTGTGAATGAGAGGTAGTTTTACGTAAATCTATGTCAGTACGTTCTTGCCATAGTGTAAAATCTAATCATACTGTGCATGCACATGTTCCTTTTAATAATGGACCCATCTGTGCATCAAGAATTCTCGCCTCCATCGAAAATGCGGCTGCCACAGCCGTGATTTCATCCCCCGTCCTGTGGGTCAGCATTGCAGGACAAGGACCACTACACTACCGTAGCAAGGGCCTCTGCACTCTGCTCTTCTAAATGTGGCCACAGAATTTCGAAAAAGAGTTTGATCAGATGTCGATACAGCTAGCTGTGCCTTTCTACTATAGCACACTGATGCTCTTTTAAAGGAGCATGAAAGCTGTATACCCGAAATATCCAAAAAAGCGGGGTAGTAAGAAATATACAGTGAGCGCTTCGCTTTTTTTCTGTTCTTGTTTCGTCACCAAGAAATATGATTCGACAAAATGGCATTTATTTCTCACTTTCAAGTTGAAAAGAGAACGGAAGGAACAACCAAAAATCTCAGTTAAATGTGCAGAACGTGAAAAAACCCTAACAAAAGAAAACGCAAAAAACAATAACCCTTCCTCTAAACAGTAGGGTTGTAACACGTGATGCATCATATGTCCAAACCGCGGCGCACAGCTGACGCTCTGGGAAGCCTTTCTCTGCCGCCCCTTGGATGTGAGAGGTCGCACGCGAACTCGCCAAAAGGGAAAATAATGCGCCACTCGCTCATAAAGCAGCCGCTAAGAGCCCAAGAGCGTGTACCTTGTGAAACAACGCTGAACAGTCAGGGTGCAATTAAGTTCATCGTATGGCACGAAAATACACGCCAAGGTAAGGAGATGATTGCTGCTATTTTTTAGGACTCATTGCAGCGCCCTGCGGTGGCTGAGTATGAGAAAACCTGGGAGGCTCGGTGGGGCCACTAGGCCTTACCCGAACTTCCTTTCCTGTGTTTGCTTCCCCTCGTTGCGGTGCATCCTTTAGTTTCACTACGTGGGAACGTTGCGCACGTGTCAGTTTTCTCACAGCAGTAAGGTAAGGAAAATCGAACGGCTGTTTTCACGTGGTAAACAGGGTGGCGTGTGCGTGGATGGGAGGGAGTCTTAGCTCCCCCAACAATGCACTCCGGTTATAACCTGATCGTTATATTGTTGGGCACACCATGCAGCGAGGATCGCTGGGTGCCCAGGTTAGACCTCTCAATATTTCGTTTGTTTCTTATTTATTTTTGGCGTGATAGCAATTAGCAACACCGGAAGCGGCGGACAACAACGGCGCCAAAAACATCGTGATCTCATAACAGCTTTCGCTATAAAAGTTTACGGTAGATGCAGGTAACCTCCCTGTCTCTATGCCATCGCGTCACGCCAATAGACTCACTTTAGAATGATTTCGGGACATCCGTGCGTCTTTCCAGAATCGTATTTCAACAATCGCTCACCACAAATGTATTTTCAAAGGCTCTGTGGCGTACAAGACCGTAACTCTGTTTTAATAACTTGTTTTGTTGTTTGTGTTGTTTAGAAATTTTTTCTCCATGTTTTATATCAAGCTACGGCAAGGCAACGCATTTAGCCACGTCCTAGAGATGACGTAACGTCAACGTGCCCTCATATATTTGATAGTAAAAAAACAGAATAAAACAACAAAGACCAGAAAGATCAGGCAACTTTTCTGGCTTATAATACTCCTCTTCTGGTCATAGAGAACACAATGAAGGGGTTATGGCAGACGAAAACATACGTGAAGCGACATTATAAACACAGCGAACATTAACCACAAATCAGTCAGTAGTAACCGAACTAAGCCAACAAAATGTTCATCCTGCTGCAGTTTGTGCAGTTATCGTCGACACTGCCGACACCTTGCTTATATAGGCTTATTGCTCCCGCCAAAAAACCGTAATTTATTGTGCTCTACCAAAAATAGAACTACCACCATTCTCGTAGTTGCCACCGGTAGGCAGTCCATCGACTTCGAACAAGACACTCGTCGAAAGACGATACCAAAGCGCTTCCAAACCCGTCAGTTGCTGTGCCGGTCTACAGCACCTGTCTCTGCGACACTGTTCCACTCTTGCCGTCTGATTACGTTTGCACCGACTGAAGCTTTCCAGTGCCTTTTGCGGCCGTGCAAGTCCCTATAGAGCAGGACCGCTATTTTTTAGGAGCGAAGCTCTTTGTGGCGTGGCTTGGGCGTACCTCGTATGTAACCACCAGTGGCACATACCCGAAATTGGTATAACAATTGACCTCCAAGGTGGTGCCACTGAGAGATTTCTTCTGTGCGTTGTTTAACAATAAAAAATAGTGCTCAATGTACATGCCAATGGCTGCTAATGGGGAATGAGAGACATGAGCATTCGGCTTTTAGTCAACGCGCACGCTGCGATCCCCATTAGCAGCCATTGGCATGTACATTGAGCACTATCGGACAAGAAAGGGATGCTACATTATACTCGCTGGGTGTAACCTCCTTAGCTTTAGAAAGGTTTAGCGAGCGTTGAGCCGCAGTGCCATGAATACAATGAACTTGTATATACCATGAATGAACTCAAGGTGGTTAAAAATGAGAAGTAGATACGAAGCGCAAGCCGTAAGAAAGTAAAAGCCGAATTCTCCTGTCTCTCATTTCTCATTAGCAGCCATTGGCATGTAAATTGAGCCCTATCTGACAGGGAAAGGTTGCTACGTTATACTCGCTGGGCGTAACCGCCTTGGTTTTCGAAAGGTTTAGCGAGCGTTTGGTCGCAGTGCCATGAATACAGTGAACTAGAATATACCATGAACTCGAGGTGGTGAAAGGTGGGAAGTGGACCCAAAGCGCAGGCCGTAAGAAAGTGTGCGTGTGCCACCTCTCGTTTAGTCCTTGGAATGTCCGCTGGATGGCGGTGCTTCTATATGGGGAATATATGATAAAAAGATGCGAGATGGTGGGACTTGGAGTGTTGAATAGATGAACGAACGGACACACAAACAGATGCATGGATGGACGCATGAACGGACGCAGGGGCGGATGCACGAAAGAACGCAGGGACGGGCGCACAAACAGACGCATGGACGGTCACACAGACGGACGCATGGACGGGCGAATGCTTCGCCCCACTCTCCATCATTCACTCCGTGGATATGCTGCCATTTTTTTGTTCGATCCCACCGCATCGTTACGTCTGTGCGACGAAACTGTCTCGGTAGAGCAGAGCTCAT